AGATCTGCCCACTTCTCAAAGTCTAGATTTGGAATGGTTCCTATACCATTTGAGTTCTAGATATCCTATGGTGGTGGCTTCTTCTTTCCTTCTACCAATTCCATCAAATGGTGACGATGGAGAATGGGCAATAACTGGGCTTGCCATATAAAATAATTGTCGCTTCTTGACTTGATTGGTAGATAGTACATCACATTCTAGATCGAGGGAATAGAAGAGGTTCCACTTAAGACTGCCACACTAACACTTGTACTCAATGCTACCTTACCAGTCACCATAAAGCTCTGATACCAAGTTAAAACAAAAAATGAAACAATAAAAGAATAGAGAGAAAAACTTTAGGATTTGGTGGTGAGTATCAGCTGATCCTATATTAGTTTATGTAGACTATTAAACAAGTTTGTGATAGAGTACAACACTGAAGGAGACTACATGATAAACTCAAGTAAGAGAAACACAAAATTCTTTAGAAGTTATGATAAACATAGGACTACCAAGAGAAATATGATAAACTTAGAATTCTCCAACAGTTATCCCTAGGCCATCACGAGTAGTGTTAACAATGCGGGAGTAGAACATTCTCCATTCCATGAACATTCTAGTGTGGTACAGATGGAACGTTCAAGGTTTCCTTGGGTTTATGGGGCCAAGATAGTGTATGGAGATGCTATAATTCCCTCCCAAATAATGTGGTCCCTCAGAAGTTCTTGAGTGCTCACTACTCATCAATTTACTGTGGCTACGTGAGTTGCTGCCATAGCAGCCTTAGCCACCACAACAGCTATCGTGGCAATAGTGCTCTAGCATCCTTGTTCTGATCAACATCCTCCACATATCAACAAGAGCATCCCAAGCTCTAAGACTCCTTCCTTTCATCTCCATTAATCATTGGTAGCTCAATATGTTCCTTGTCACTAAATGAGCTAATGAAACTCTAGTACTTTTGCTTCACCAGCAAGATCGAGAGAGAATTTCGGCTTCAGTGCTCATAAGACGGTGCTTAAACTGTTCACACAGTCCTTACAGCCTTGCATTGAGAATATCTACCCATGAAAACAAAAGAATATAAGTATGGAGATATTCCCAATGTATGATATTCCCATTGTGAAAGATTATGTAAATGGTATGAGCACCGTCTTATAAGAACTGAAGCCGACCTCATCGAGAGAGATCTAAAAGAAAGAGTGAAGTTAACAAAAGTATTTCAAAGTACTTGGTAAGCGCAAAAGTGCATTTTTTCTGTTTTAATGGAGATAGTAATTTTAACATCTCCATCCACACCAATCTAACATGTAGCCAAAGTTCAAAGAACGAGACCGGGTGTCGACCTAAAAAAGATTCAACCAAGGTTCTTCTATAACATATATTTTTTATAATAAAATTAAGATTTGAGGCCAAAAAATGCATATTCTAGCAAAAAATAGTGGGGTGCCTTGGGAACATGTAGATCTCAAAAAGTACCTAAAATAAAAAAAAAGACCACCCTAATCGGACATCTAAGCACAAAATTACGACCTTTAGAAAACCATACTGGAACCAGGTTACTGATTTTTCAGTTCAACTATCTGGGTCAACAGTTTTGTCTAGTTTTTTTACCAATGCGGTTTTAAGGCTATGACCAAATCGGCTAAGGGCTTGGTTCAATCGGTCCAACCAACTGGTCTGTTCGGGTTTCTAAACATTGCATGTAGGGGTGTTGTTTTCTTAGGTGTTGTAGTTATTTGGCAAGTCTTTTTAAAAATGTTAAACAGTGTATGTCCTTACCTCCAATTAGATTAATGTACATGAACATTAATTTGTAAATGAATAAAGTTCATTATTGTTTCATGTTTATATTGGTATGTTTTCTGTATATTACCCCTTAAATTGAACACTTATGAGACTCATGTTAGTTTAGAATGTTCTCAGTCATTGGATAGATGTAGGAAGTTTATCCTAACAAGACGAACACTAGAGTGATGCCAAACAATTGGAGCATTTTGTCTTAGTTGCTAAGGTTAGACCCAAAGCACAGGTAATGAGTGATTAGAAGAAACACTGAACCCGGACCAATTTCTAGTTATGCCCTAGACCTTGGAAATAGATGGGCAAAACTAAAAATGTATACTTTACCCCAGACTTGATTATGGTATTGCATTAGGTGTTGCACTAAGCTGTCTTTGATATGCCAACCAAGGAGATTCATTAAGAGTCAAATACATGGGCATGTTGGGGCAATTTGGAAATCACCTGAGTAGGTGATCATGGTGATTGGATCGGCCCCTTTATTGGACAAAGTGAATATCAGGGTTTACACTCTCTCTGATGAAAATTTAAACTATCGATAGTGGATTTCACCTGCGTTTGAAATTTGGTTTTGCAAAATATATTTATATATTATATTGTTATTTTATAAAAAATGTTTGTTAAATGTTTTAATCTTGGGATCCATCCGAGCAGAGAGTGTTACACTACACTCTGTAACTAGGGGAGAGGTTTTTCCCTATCGGGCAGTGTTTTAATCATTATGGGCCTAGAGGTTAAGTGTAAGAGACCATTACAAGGTTGATTACCTGATGGCCTTTGTCCCACATAAGTCCATTATCCTTGTGTCTTCATAGGGTGGCTAAATCCAATGATCATTTAAGTATAAGTGTTGGGCCTAGACTGAGCCTATGCTGATTGGCTCAGGGGTTCACTACCATAAGTAGTGAATTCGGCCTAATCTCTATCAAAGGTGGGGGTCGGACCCTCATGGACTTGTGTTAAACCTTTGTGGGGTCTCATGTCATACAATATCAGGCCCAAAGTGGACATGCAATACTTAGGGAAGTGAGCCTTTAAGAGAAATGGGCCTAAGGCCCATTACTAATATGATTAGTTAAGTGGTCACATGACACACTTAAGTTGTCATGTGATTTGGGTCGAAACTGGGCATGGATCTAGGTATAGAACACCTATCCTCTCAAGAATGCTTATCAAGAAGAAAGGTTCTTATCCAAATCAGCTTTGGATCACCTCCTAATTAGATTAGGAGTCTTGCTTCATAAATAGATAAAAAGAGAAGAGGGCAAACCAGTCTTGAACCCTTTACATTCTTGCTCTCTCTTCTTCTCTCTTGTTTCTCAAGAAACCCTATTTTGACGTAGGACTTTCAAGAACTGATTTTGATCAGTTTTCTTTTGGATTCTTACAAGAAAAATGTTGAATAAAATCAAGCTCAATCATCCCACTCGATCCAAGCAAGTTGGATAGAAGAATTGTTGAAACAAGTGTTACTAAATCAGTTTCTCCCGTACACTACGCAATCTTCAATTAGAGGCCAATTTTGGGACTATTATTGGGTGTGAACTTCCACCTTGGGAAATGTGATTTGTGGTCTCCATATCAAGTATAATCTCCTTTCAATTTGATTTCAAATTGGATCTAGTTCAGGGCAAAATTAACCTGAAATTTTCAATTTTCAAATTCACTGATAAATCAATTCCCGAAAGGGTTAGAAAATTTTTGAAAATTTGCCCAGCCATCTAATATAGTTCGGCCATCCATATGATAGATTCTAACCCAAACAAAAAAGTCATTTTAGCATACCAAATGGCCAAAAGGCTCATTGAGCTTATGAGTTCTTTTCCTTAAAGACAAAGATTGCTTGGCAAGTGGTTCTATGTGCTTTTAAAAATGCATTTAAAGGATATTTATCACATGGAAAGACCGGAAAGCTTCATTTAAAGCTTCTCAAATTTTGGTATATATCTTTGGCCTTTTCAAGTCTTCTGAACTTGCGGAAGCCCAAAACACCTATAAAGAAACTTGCCAAACGCCACCTCAATTTCATGCAAATTGCAGGGGAAGAAATAAATGGAAGAGGTCAGAATACAAGGGGGTATTAGAGTAGTTACCAAACCAAAGGGGAAGCTTAGCTAATTTCCCCAATCCTGTAAACGGAGACCATGGTTACAACACCTAGTATCTATGAAAAGTTGAAGGGGACTATAATACCTTTTGTGGTATGTAGGGTGTCAATGGACCAATTTTGGGTTGGACCCGTCTAAATCAAAATCAATTTAGATGGATTGCACGAACCAATGTGACATTGAATTGGACCAATTCAAGCTTAATGGTCCAAAGTATTTATTGGATTGGATTGGACCTGGTCCAACCGTTGAACCAATATCCAATCCATTGATAGAAGATAAGAGAACAAGTGCGCATGCCAATGTATCAGATTTGGGTTGGAAGCAATCTAAATTAAAACTAATTTGAACAGATTGAACGGTCCAAACATTGAACTAGACTGATCCAAAATGGTCCAGAATATTCATCATATTGGATTGAACCTGATCCATCTGTAATGAACCATATTGAACTGGGTTGGATTGGACCAAATCCCATCCAATTGACACCCCTAGTTGTATGCTGATTCTGAGGATGTTTGTTCCTGTTATATTTTTTGGTTTATGTGGTGTCCTCCCTTCTATTGTTGCCGTTAGGAATTGTTGTCATATTTTTTTGTTTAAGAAAAACCATTGGCTAATTCATTGAGAAGCATTTTTCAACAAAACAGGTAAAGGAATTCTGGGGACATAGACCATGAGTTTTCTTCTTATTTTAATAAAATTGCTCGATGGCTGCCCGTAAGATCTACATAAAACTAGAGGCAGGGGGGAAAAGGACTTGGGATGTCACTGAACAGAATGTAATGCTGAAGCAGAATTCATGTGGCTCATGGCCCACACCATAGTGGAACAAAGCTTAGATGATGATGGGCTATAGTTGAGCTCTGACTCTGAAAACTCATGTTCCACAACTCATTCTTGAAAACATGGAAAGGTTCAAACATCTCAATACCTTGTTCATTGTTCAAATAAGATGACTTGGGATGTTTATTGGTTCAAACCATTGGCTAATTCTTTGAGAAGTTAAGGAACCATTGACTTGGGATGTTCATTGGTTCAAACCATTGGCTAATTCATTGAGAAGCATCTTTCAACAAAGCAGGTAAAGAAATTCTTCAAAACATGGAAAGGTTCAAACATCTCAATACCATGTTCATTGTTCAAATAAGACGAGTGTCCGTGGGAATTTTCTTTTCTTTTCTTTTTTTCTTTTTTCTGCTTTTGTTATACATGGTAATCAATACACGTTGCTCTATTTACAAACTTGCAAATGCCATTATAAATAACACTTCCCAACCTCTTAAATAATAAACGAACATCCTTACTAAAATGGCAATTTAATAGCAATAAAATTTCAGCTTCCACTACCAGTTGCAACATACTGATTGCCTGCAGAGAGCCAGGACCTTCTACTCTCACTGTGAGAATCTGGTCGCTGCAAACTGGATCTTGAACACCTGCCCAGGTGGTTCCGCATACTCCTGTCAGAACAAGGAGTTAAGGAAGGGCTAGTGTCTGGAGCTCCCAAGCAAAAGCTTGGGTTTAGTTTCATGGATGGGAACCCTTGGCAGCCAAGTGTCCGGAAGGAGGATGACTCTAAAGACGAAAGACAGGTACAATGTAACTCAGGCTTGAAGTTTGGGGTTGACGTTGTGGGATCTAACCGTTCACCAGAGCATGCACATAAGGACAAAGATAAGTTTGTTCGTGCAATTTCTTTGATAACCGGGCTGGTACCTGGAAGCTTGTTGAATGAAACTATCCCATGTCGGCAAAGAGGGCAGGCAATTGAGCCTGGGGGTCCATGAGCAGCAGTTGATGTGCTGTTGGTGGAACAGAGGTACAAAGCACAATGAGTGCAGAACTCGTGACTGCAACCTGTAGAGTGATAACAAGTAAATTTGTATGATCATCCTGGTTAGTAGTAACATGAAAACCAAAAACTTCTAATTGTATTACACTTAAAAACAAAATAGAGTTGGACAAAATAGAATTTTTGAATAAGTAAAGAAAAAATTCAAAAAACTTAATACAGTACCGACAAACTTTTGAATTGGCATGCTCTTTCTAACAAATGGTCTTCGGGAGAAATAGACAGAGCGTGTTCCTTTAGTTGTATCTTTACTACATATTATCCAGATCTGGAGATTTTCAGACAGCATAGAAGAGAGTAGGGGCATGGAACCATGTCTTTTGTTCGAATTTATGCTCCATTCATCATTGACTCATGTCTCGTGGATGACATTTCCAACTCAATGAATCACTTCAAGTATGATATTTTTTCATTCTCCTAATAAATGAGGGATTGGATAATGGGTTGCAAAACCACCATGGGGGTAGGGAAGAACATCTTGAGACAGGTTTCCTTGGGCTTAAATTAGTAATATTTTGCTGCATCTCTAACATCTGATGGTTAATTTTTATTAAATGATTAAAATTTAGAAATTAGAATACTGCTTAGGTTGTTTTAAGGTCATTCATTGAGACTATTCAAATATTAGACCACCTCTCCAAATTAGATTTAACCAAAAATTGCATTCTTATTTGGACATGGTTGTGATCATCAATAACATCATTTTTTTTTCAACCAGACCATCAATAAGAATCATGCACCATCAACTGTGCTCTTCTTCCTCTCCTTTGGAGACAGAACCTACATGAGACAAGTTGAAGGATTCAAATGATGACCAAGCTTGGGGTAGTAAAGGAAGGCAATGTTCGACTGAAGGTGGCCTTTGAAGCTTTGATCAATGTGTTAGTTAGCAAGTCTGGTGTGTCTGATCAAGAACTGTTTCTGAAATGCTGCTCAATTGAGTGTTTTGGTTAACACTGCCGAGACACCAGTGAAGTTGAAAGGTGGGCAGAGGTTTGGGGGTGTTTGGAAAGACCTTTGGTAAGGAGGCTTGAAGGAAACAAGATTTTAGTAATTTTCTCATCAAAGTCGGAAGTGTTGGGAGCTCTACACTTCGGAAAAAATTCTTTTAATGGGCTCCACTTATTTTTGCAGAGATGAGATCACTGTGCCAGTGAGGTCAGTCAAGTGGGAGAGTATGCTTGCTGGTGGGTTCTCCTGTTTGGCTTTCCATTGCACGCATAGAACCTGGCAACATTCAAGGAGGTAGGGAACGGCTTGGGAGGCAAGGGTTGGACTTCAGGCCCAGTCCAGACTGATGATATGCTTCATAATATTGATCAGCCTAGTCCGGATGTGGAAACTCACCTTTATTTGGGAGCAGCTCAAACATGACTTGGGCCCTAAGAGGGATAAAGCCCAGCTTCTTGGTCTAAATGTTGTAGGCCAATCCAAAGTTTCACATACACCAGCCAGTTTCAAAATTTTTTGCAAGCGTTAATCAGCAAGGAACAGACTGCTCCACTCGAGAAGCAAGAGAGTGCATGGCCCCCATCCCTTCTGTTGATTAACAAGCTTGTGCGGACACCACCATGATAGATGCTGACAAAGGTGGTGACATGCCAATCTCTAATGAGAAGTTAGACAAATTTATGAATTTTGGTAAATTGTTGGGTGTCTCTTTTCCTAATGGGGAAGAAAACACCTGTGGTCTTTTCGAAGGCTAGACTGGCAGATCATGGTGTACGTCGGTCTATTTGTGAAATCGTGATGGCAGAGCAAGAGTTTATGGCGTATGAGAATGCTTCTGAATCAGAATGATCTTTGGACAGCTTAAACAGCCTTCCAGGTTGCAGGAAATCAAACAAGTTAGAATAATTCTGTGGAGATGTAGTGGTAAACAAAGGAAGAAAAGATGCTTGCCGTTTGCATGGTAGAGGCAAGAGAGGCAACAGAAGAAAGGTTTCTTTTTAAGTCTGCAGCCTTTGCTTTCAGTCTTTTGAGCCCAGGTGGGGGGTGGGCAGGCCCAATCCTTTTTGGGGGATCTTTTGGGGGGGTTTAACAAGGTTCTCTTGTAAGGCTAATCTATTGGTTCACTTTAGTGGTTTGTGTGTTGTTTCTATCGTTGTACGGCCAAGTGATTTTGGCTCTTTGGGCCACTTCTTGCCCTTGTATCTTCTTTGTTTTAAAATAATTTCATACCTTACCTCTTTCAAAAAATTAAAAAAAAGAACGATCCAAATGCATGGTAGGCAAAGTTTCTGGTGACTTATTCTTTAACATTATATATGGCCCTACAATACAGAGTGGCATGGCATCAAGATTTGCAGTCTAACATAAGCAAGGACCAAATCAACCCTGTTGTCACCTATACAGTTCTAAATAACTCACACAAGAATTGAATGCCATGCAACTAGAATAGGAAACCATTCTCAATAAGCTTTTAGCAAATGTTTACTCCATTTACATGTGTGGCATTTAATGAAAAATAGAAATCAAATGCAATAGAATTTAAATAGGAAACCTTTTGCCTAGATGCATAAAATGCATTCTTATAGGTTTGTTAACAATCTACAAAAAGAATAGATGAATCATGAATGACATTAAAAGTAAAGGAATACAAAAAGAACAACACAATGACATTCTACAAACAGTTAGCGAAGATTTATGAGAATTTTGGAGGCGAGAATTACAAATAGTTTTGGAAATAAGATTTAGTTGGTTAATATTTTACCTCTCAAGTCTCAACTTAATTAGATATAACCAAATAAGGTCTCATATTACATCATATAGGCATACATTCCCACTTCATGTGTCAAAGTCAAACATTGACCATTGGAGGTTCTAATTTATAGGAGGTTACCTCAGCCTACATCCTTAACGATATCAAAATATTCAAAAGTGACTTTTTAATGTTTCTGAAGCAAACCTTCAACAGCTACTGCGCATTTTCTCTCTAGGCAAACAACACATGGATCAACACCTGTGGGTAGTGAGTCACTGTTCCTCCATCCACATTCCCTGCAACAAAAAGAATTTTAGGGAAGCAGAATATTTTTATAATTATAACATGGGCAAACAAGTTATTGACCTCCAAATTAAATACTGATATAAATAGTTAACCTTAGGTTCAATGATTTTCCAAAGTGGTAAGACATCTACACTAAGCAGACCTTATAAATAAGAAATTCATAGAGATTTTCCAAAATCTTAATTAGTGTCTGATCTTAGTTGACATTTTGACTAAATAATTGTACTGCTAATATTATCCAAACTCAAAACCTTTAGTAATATGAATCTTCAGGTTTACTGTATTTATTTGGAACTTCTTGTTCAATTTAGTTACTTTTAATATGTTTTGGCTAATTTTTGGTAGTAAAATAAAATTTATTAAAACTAAAGGAGGAAGTTAAAAAAAAAAGGACCAGAAGTCACCAAAAAAGAAAACAGAAAAAACAACCATCTTCCCCAACAACACTCCAACTCAATGAAACAGAGAAAACAGACCAAACTCAACAACCAAACCAAAATGAACCACCATTTCAGCCAACCAGCAAACCCAAACTATAGGCTCTTTAATCAATGACAACAAACAAACCAGATCACTAGACACAACCAACCAAGAGTAACCACCAAAAACCAAAGACACTCCAAATAAATAAACCTTTCTAATTATTCTTAACTTTCTTTTTTTACTTCATTGCCTTTTTGTTTGGACCAATAGAAAATAAAATAAGTGATTAAAAGGTGAAGAAAAGGTAAAAGGAAGGGTTCTTGAAAGTAAAGAAAGAGGGGAGAAGATGAGAGGACTTGAAATAGTGTTGTAACAGTCTTAGGGTCAGTGTGAGATCAGTCCAGAAAAATAGAGAGGAAGATAAGAAGAAAACAGGGAGAAAGGAAGGAAAAGAAGAAGAGAAATAGGAGGAAAGAGAGAGCAGATGTTATGTTTCTGCCACCCCTCCCCCATTGCCATTTATATTTTCAATAAAAAGAAGTAAAGACCAAATTACCCCCATCGCCTATAAGAAAGTAAAAAATTAACATAACAGCAGCTAAACAACAGCCTAAAAACAATAAAATAAAGATGATACCACATATAAAAAACATATAAAATAGCAACTAAGGCTCCTTTGTTGTATCCAAGGTTCAAAGTATCAATACGTATCATGCCGATGGCTTCCCGATACGCCGCTCCAAGGGTTGGTTGCATTGGGTCAGACACTGGTTCAGAGGGTAGCCGGCCCTTAAAGTGACCCCTCTAAACCGGTTTCGAAAAAATTAAATAAAACCTAAAAAAGTACCGATACGCCCTACCGGCATATCGTCCCGTCTCAATATTTTGAACCTTGGTTGTATCTCTACACTCCCCTCAAGTTGGAAAAGATATTCAGCATTTCCCAACTTGCAATTTGTCTCCATCTTGGCTTTATTGCTTTGGTGAAGAGATTGGCAAATTGCATATGAAAGGCAATATACGGCAAGCACACTTCTTGAGAGGCAACTCTCTCCCCGATAAAGTGTCGATCCACCTCAATATGTTTTGTCCTATCATGTTGTATTGAGTTCTAGGCAAAATTAATGGCATCCTGATTGTCACAATACAACACCAAGGACTTTTCGTACTCAATTCCAAGTTCCTCAAGTAAGGATCTCAGCCATAATACCTCAACTACTCCATGAGCCATGGATCTATATTCTGCCTCAGCAATTAATCGGGCAACTACATCTTGTTTCTTACTCCTCCATGAAAGCAGATTCCTTCCAAAAAAAGCACAGTACCCCCCTGAGGTAAACCACCCATCATCTACACATCTGGCCCAATCCGCATCAGTGTACACCTCTATCTACATATGGCCATTATTCTTAAAGAGTATGCCATGGCTTGGACACCTTGCTATGCACCAGAAAGTAGGCTTGGGACAAAGTAACAATTTCCCTGGTGAGAAGTTTCTCTCTTACAATATCATATTCAAAGTTCAGCTTTGCTAGGAATTTAAAAACCCTATTTCTTTCCACCAACTTGTTATAAGTTGCTGCATCCTTCTGGCTCTCCCATTCAATTGCCTCGAAGTGATCAATTTCATGCTATAGGGAATTTAGAGTTGAGAAGTAAATTGACACAGGTTTCTCCCCCTATTTCATATTTGTTACTTTAGTTGTCAGCTCATAAGCTACATCAAGGGGCTTAGAATAAGTTTCCTTTATATTATCCCAAATGTGCCTAGTTGTCTTTTCCCAAAGATAGCTTCTAGTGATATGAGGCTGCATTGAGTTGTAGAGCCAAGTCATAACTAGGTAATTTTCTTGAACCCATTTAGCATGGGAGAGATCTCCCTTGGATGGCTTCTGGGTATCACCATTTACATACCCCAACTTACCTCTTCCTCCAATGGCCAACATGGCTGATTGAGCTCACTAAAGATAATTTGTTCCATCAAATTTAATTGTAGTAATCTGAAAAAAGTTGTTGCCAATCACACTACCAGCCTCTACAAGTCCTTCCCCAACGAACTTGAACTCATTCTCAATGTTCTCCACGTTGAACTAAGCAAGATATCACACGGCCCAACTTCTTTCAATTAGAAAAAAGGATCATCATGTGGTTTTACAGTAACCAAGATGTTCACAGTTCATAGTCAATCAAAAACTGGTTGTTCCTCAAAAGAAAATCCTAGAAAGAACTTGGAGAAGACAAGAATACTCCAGCTGCTATTTCCAGAAACCTCTAAAAGCCTTCCTCCTGCTGTCAATCTCTAGAAGAAACAAAAAACCACCCAGAAAACACTAAGTGCCACCTTCAATCTGAGGTTTAACCCCTAAACCTCAACCAAAATAGTATCTCTGATCCTTCCAAGTCACTGGGCAAAATCTAGAGTTTAGAAAATGCTTGAACAGTGCATCAATCTCCACTGACCTCCAATAATCAGACAAAAAAAATCTGAAACTCCAGCCCTAGTAGAGTCTCATGTAGCCAGCTGGGTTAAGCATACATGAGATCCCAACCTAAACCTAAACCTGCTCTGATACCAACTTGAAATAGCTGCTATAACAGTCATAGGTTTAGTGTGAGATCAATCCAGAAAAAGAGAGGAAGAGAAGATCTAAACAGAGAGAAAAGAAAGAGCAGAATGTTACGTTTCTTCCGCCCCCCCCCCTGCCATTTATATGTTTCAATAAAAGAAGTTATAAAGACCAAATTACATCACCAATAAGAAAGTAAAACTTGGCATAACAGTAGCTAAACAACAGCCTAAAAACAATAAAATAAAGATGGGACCACATATAAAAACCATATAAAACAGCAACTAAACCTCCTTTGTTGTAGTAGAAAGCTTGCTGAATTAAAAAATATGAAATAAAAGGAGTTTCTTGAAGAAAGGAAGAGAGAAGGAGAAGAAGAGAAGAAGAGAAGTTGAAAAGAAAGGAGAGCAATAATCTGGTCGCCCCCTTCACTTATTATTTATACTTAAAATAATAGAGTACAAAGACAACTATGCCCTTATAGGGCGGTGATGGAGGGTGATTTGACCTGACCTCCTAACCAGGTGACACGTGGACATGACTCAGTGTAAGTGACAGCTCGGCATGACAGCTTGTCCAAAACTCGGCGTAATGAGCTCGCTGAAACCCCAATAGAATAGCTCGTCATAAGACAGCTCGCTACAGCTCAAGGCAGCTCGCTATTGGAGCTCGCTATAAAGGAGTTCGCTACAAGGGAGCTCGCTATTGAATAACTCGAAGTCTTCGGGAAGCTTCCTACCCGACAAGACCGTGCTTGTCAGACTGCTCCCACGTCTCTTGTCTGATGGCGCAGCACCTTCCAGTCCAGAGGACTGCACCCACGTCTCACATCAGGCGGCGTGGTACACGCCGGCTCTGCATAACGTCTCTCAACCGACAGGACCGTACACTGCGACAGATACCTGCCCCAATCGAATTAGCCTGGCAAATAACGGTTGTAGCAGAGGATCAAAGGCGGTTACACCCGATTTGACAGAACATCAGTATATAAAGGTCCCGATCCCCAAGGGACAAAGGTAACTTGAACAAGGTGATTTCGCGCTATCTGCACTCTTAGCTCTCTTACTATTCTCTACAGTTCTCTCTCAGAGTTCTAACTTAAGCATCGGAGTGTTCCCGCCAGGCGAACTCCCTGGGAATCCTTCACTATCTTCTCCATCTCAGATACTGTCCGTTGCCAGCTAGGTGCCATGCCACCGCAAGCTAGGAGTGACCAGATCACGCTACATCAGGCGGCAAGACATAAAATAGCATATATAAGACACAAAAACATAATAAAATTTGGACTCACATAACTACTGTGGTCCCCACCTCCTATCTAACAACTAACATAAAACATCTACTCAGATAACATAATAAAATTTGGACTCACATAACTACTGTGGTCCCCACCTCCTATCTAACAACTAACATAAAACATCTACTCAAAAAACATCATAAAACTGATTAATCTTCAACACTCCCCCTCAAGTTGGGAGTGAATGTCACGTCACACATTCCCAACTCGCGTAGATCATGTTCAAGCTTGTTCTTTGCCACCCCTTTAGTGAGAACATCAGCCAGCTGCAACTCTGAAGAGACATAAGACAAACAGACTTCTCAACCCCATGATTATTATAGGTCCTACTTTAGTTGCTTTTAAGCAATCTTTTCTAGTTTGCCATCAAGTGGAAGTAAAAGCTAATGTAGAATAGGTTTGGCCAACCTCTCTGTCTACTACAAATCTGTGAAAGACACTGAATTATGTAACTAAGATATGACAAATTGTATAAACTGAGCTTCACCTCAAGAAATGTACTTGATCTTGATTTTAAGCATTCTTTTCTAGTTTGCAATCAAGTGGAAGTAAAAGCTAATGTAGAATAGGTTTGGCCAACCTCTCTGTCTACTACAAATCTGTGAAAGACACTGAACTATGTAACTAAGATATGACATATTGTATAAACTGAGCTTCACCTCAAGAAATGTACTTGATCGTGTCTCTATAACTGGTGTGTAAATGTGGTGTCCCCTAGGAACCTAGGCAGCCAAGGGAGGTCTTGCCATCTGGGTGGTACTACAAATGCAAGTATATGCATATATACTTATACTGAAGCTCTTTGCTTTATCCTATGGTAAGGATATGTACTAAATGTGAACCATAAGGCAGTCTAAGCAATGTAAAGAAGTTTTTTTTCTAAAATGACCCATATGTTCATCCATATTATATAGAAATAATGTATTCATCAGCTATCCAAATAACTGAGTGATGTTTAATTGGTTAAAATATTGCTGATGTAACTGCTAACTCTTAACAACCATTCGTCCCTCTCTCACACAAATTATCAAAATAACCTATCCTCTATTTTTAGTTTACAATTCCTGCTTTTAATCTTTTAATCTTAAATTTTGCATTCCGTTTCTTGAACTAAAAAGTTCACTTATGGTATTTACTTCGATGATCTATATAACACATTCTCTAATTCTCTTGAGTAAAAGAATCATTATCCATTCCTTGATCCCTTATTGGAGATGACCTAAAGGCTTACATGGATACATCCTTCCATAATTCCCTCAAGAGATCTGTAATCCCAATAATGTCACTATCCTAATTGCCCTGCCCATATTCCACCCCGAATCCTAGTTAGTTTCACTTACTACTACATTTTTATTTTCATTCCCCGAAGTGTTTACGCAACCAAAACCATGATTCCTTTGAGATTCTAAAATTCAAAACGAAATCTTCCTTTCATCCCCCTATACATCCTGATTAGTAGGATTTTCTGACGTCCAACAAGTTTTTTTTCCACCTCCAAATCTCCAGTAATTTTCATGTGCAACCCATTTCTCACAGTATTCCTAATTAACCTAGATGTTTCATTGGAAATCTTGGTTTATTCTATACGTTAGAGAGGAAAATGTATTTTCTCCCTCCAATGAGCTAAAAATCTTAGCGAGCACTCTTGGAATGCAGACAAAGTAGTGAGACAAAATTCTACCTTCAATAGATACATGATGGATACTGATAAAGAAATTACTCATGGTGGAAGTCATAATATAAAAAACAATTAATAAATTCAAATAAATTTTAAATAAAAAAAGGCAAAAAATAGAATATACCTTGCAATTTTGACAATGCTCATAAAGGGGAGAGATAGATATGGTGAAGGAAGAATTTGTGGCTGGCACTCTGGCTGTTTGCTTAGAATTCCCACAAGCCAATCTCTATGCCATGATTGAGCAACCATCAAAGGAGTCCATCTGTGAAAACAAAAAGGATAATGAGAACTTTATAATTAATTCAATGACATGTAAAAAATAAAGTACAGCATGATGACAAAACAAGAGACAAACAATAAATTACCCTAATATAGGTAGTACAAGTTAGCACACATATACATAAAAAAATAAAGCACAGAACCTTCACACTGTCCTGAGACAGATCAGACTTGCAGATTCAGGCTTATACCTTGAGGTTCAACCTTAATAGTCTAATACCTCTTGAAGGTACATAGATGCATATCTCACACGTTGAGGTGCCTTCTGTTAAGGATGTGTATTTAATTCATTAATCACAGAAATTTCTGATGTCACAAGATTGAGAATTAAAATATCAATATTTATTTCCATTGAGTTCTGAACTGTACCCTATAAAGGCACGCATAGCCGATTAAGCAGTAAGCTTAGCATGCTCATGGGGAATGAGATGCACAAAACAAATACAACCAAAGACATGAAGTATAGAATAGTTTGGTGAACAACGGAAAAGACAATAGAATGGTGATTGATTACCAAGAACTGAAGATGGAATGATGTTAATGAGAAACACATAAATGTTGGTCACCTCCACCCAAGAATAACAGGAACAAGGGAGTCAAGGAGAAGGGATCTCACCATGCTCAAGATGTGGCGGTTCTTGCATTCAGCAACTCCATTTTGTTGAGGAGTTCCTGGGCAAGATCTTTGGGATAGAACACTACTTTAGTAGATGGGTCTAGAACTCTCCATTTTCCCCATCAAAATATTCCCCCTTGAATCCAAGCATAAGATACGAATGGTGGCATTATGTTGGTCATCACCATAGTGTGAAAGTTCTAAACGTGGAAAGTACTTCTGATTTCTTCTGAAGAAAGCAAACTTAGGTGTATCTAGTACAATCGTCAATAAATAAGACAAAATATCTATAGCTAAATCTAGATGTAATAGGAGACGACAAAAGATCACTATGTATTACTTGAAAAGGAATTGTAGTATGCTCAGAAGATGGAAAAGGTAAAATATGACTTTTGCTAAGACCACAAGTTCTACAAGATTTATTAATATTCTTAAAATAGAAGTTACAATAGGCAAGCAACCAGAAGAAAATAAATGATCCAAATTTTAGCATGTGTATGGCCTAAAATTTTATGCTATAAATGTCATATGTTATTATAATGGAAATTCAAAAACATCACTAGTAGTTGAAAGAACATAAGGTCTCTTAAATTTAAGAGCAAACAACCTGAAAGCTGAACCACTGTAGTCGAAGTAGCAGAGAAGAGGAGAAGAAGAAGAGATGCTGAAAATGTCGAACTGTACTAGCCAGTCGACCAGTTCTTTATTTATAGATGAATATAGTACAAGGTACAAGAAATTACTGGGATGCCCCTGATTAGTGATGGGACACCCAGATGACTTAAATCATTAAACAGGATTAGGCCCATTAACACAAGCCCAGTTACAAAATAAGTTAAACATAAGAATGGGCTAATAAGAACTCTTATCAGCCGAACATCACTCTAACATTCTAACACAACCTCTCAAGCCTATGCTCCTTCCCCTTCACTTCCCAAATGTGCTGGTCCTATATAACACAACCATTACGAGAAAACAAAACCAAGTTACCATCATCAATAAAGTGTCCCACAAATATAAGATTGGTTGTTCACTAAGAAATAAAGAAGACTTTTGGGAAGTAGAAAGAAATAAATCATCCCAACCAACTATTTTCATTGACTCACCACTAGAGTGACAATCTGGTCATTAAAAGAGTAGGGTTTAGGAGTCTGACCAAAAAAGGCCCTAGTCATATGATTTGAGGCACCCGAATCTTTAATCCACTTATGTTAGGAGAGAAACGAGTGGTAGAAGACTTACCAGGCAGGACCGTAGCCGAAAAGGCAAATGAAATGGATGAAGACATAAGTTTCTGTGTCTTTTTACTTAGTTAAATTGCCAAAAGATTCCCCATTTGAGCTAAAGTTGAGGAAGGAGTACTATCAAATGAAGATTCTACAACTACATTCTTGGGGGGGAGGGGGGCATATAGGGCATTTAGTAATAATATACCCTTGTTGTTTACTGTAGGTGCAAATATTCTTTTCCTTACAATGAGAAGCCACATGTCTGAACTCATTCCACTCATAGAACCAAATCTTGGAAAAGTCCTTACCTTTTGGTTTGGTGACTAGAAACACTATGTTAAGGCAATGTTCTTTCTTTCTATCAAGAGAGGACTGTGTGTACAATCTACTCTTCTCTTAGAAGTTCATCCAATATAATGTCCAAAATAGGCACATTTTCCCTAATGAGAGTGCTAGACATTATCATCTCATAATCTGGTCTAAGATGTATAAGAAAATGCATGATTCTCCTTTGATCAAAATGCTATTTCATAGTCCACAGATTAACAAATCCAGCATAGTACTCCTAGATTTTTTCTCTCCCTCTAGGTGTATGAGAATATGTCCATTTCAATCTAATATTGTGTAGACATAAAACTGTTGATAAACCTTCTCTAGGTAGTTTCAGACCCCTCATATGTCTATTTCCTTAGCAGTTTCAAACCCCTCACAGGAATAGCTACATCAACAATAAATGAACTCAAGCAAGATTCCAACCAGCAGGTTGGTAAGGTCTCCTAGTTGTAGCAAAGACTTGGGATCGAATCCCACCTGGGTTGGGGGATGGGCTACCCCCCCGCGGTTGTGTAGCCCTTCAAAATATATTTAAAAAAAAAAGCAATAACTGAATTCAGTATCTAGGGAACTATTTGGGTATTATTGATTTTCCACTATTTCAAACCTTTAGCATTCATAACATCAAGGGTGGTTGTGGCACCACCCAAATAACCCCACATACCCTTTCCTTCAACAAAAAATTGGAAATGGAATTTCCAGAGAGCATATTTTGTTCCATCAAACTTCACAAAGATGAAATCACTCCTTTTGGATCCCACATTCAGCTAAGAAACCAAGGAAACAGCAAGAGTAACAAATAATAGCCACCAAAAAGCAAGAAGAATACCTTAAAAAAAGTCATTAAATCATTGGGAATAACTGAAGATCTTAGAACAAGCAAGCTAAGCCCAAAACTTGAGTCCAAATGAATGGAAGTTTTAAAAAGGAAATTGTAAGTAGCAACCACCCAAGGAAGAAGATCAAAACTCCTTTAAATCTTAACCAAAGAAAGAGATATTATAAGGAAGAAAGATCAAGTCTATACAACACCAAATCTGAAGTTTGACCTCGATTTGAAGTCTCCCAAGAGAAATCTCTCTTATTGGTTGTGTAACATTGTCTAAACAGCAGGTAGGGTTGATCAAAACAACCCTCTTCCACCAATTGAAGAATGCAGTGAATCTCGGTAGCGGGATGAGATTACTATATATAGAGAGTATCAATCAAGCAAGAAACTAATCAAAGAGCAACCTGCTCTGATACCATGTCAATTCCAGTCGAATAGGTGTGGGGTGTGTTCTATGTCTCACATGCCTAGAGTATATATGTGTGTATGTGTATTTGCGTGAGTGTGTGTTTAATGGACAATTCTGTCCTTATAAGAATGATAAAGTACAATAGGGTACAAGGTAGTGTACAAATAGAAATAAAAGAAAGGTAAAATTAATTACAATATTAACCCCCATCTTTTCATCAGTGATGCCAACAAGCTTAATAAAATCAGAAGCATATTTCTACTACTGACAAACAAAATATCCCCAATCACTACGATGGACTTCTAGGCCCAAGAAATAGGTGAGAGGTCCCAGGTCCTTCATGTGGAAAGAATTATGAAGGACTTCAACTCATAAATACCTTCATCACCATTACCAATTAATAGCATATCATCAATGTTTTCTTCTAGGAAGAAGAAGAGGGAAGAGAAAGACTATTTCGAGAGCCAAAACTCTTGCTGAGGCGACCAGCTCTATATTCATAACAATGAGATTAAATTAAAAAGCAAGGAATTACATATTTGCCCTTAGCAGCACACCCTAATAAAAAACAATAACAAAAGCTGTAAACAAGCTACAGCACTCTAGAACTGATAGCAGGAATAACTGTAACAGAAGAAACAATCCTCAAATCATTCTAACAATACTCCCCCTCAAGTTGGGCTGAATCTATCTATCATGTCCAACTTGTCACAGAGCTCATTATGTTGCAAGTATGGAAGTCCCTTTGTGAGAGCATCAGCCAACTGCTCCTTGGATTTGACATATGGAGTGCAGATTGCACCCTTTTCCAATTTCTCTCTTGTGAAGTGCTTGTCCACTTCAATGTGTTTTGTCCTGTCATGTAAGACGGGGTTAGTAGCAATGTTTATGGCTGCCTTATTATCACAGTGGAGAGACATAGGGCTGTTAACTAGGAAACCCAAGCTCCCCTAGTAAATGCTTCAACCTAAGAACTTTAGCCACCCCATGTTCCATAGCCCTATACCTAGCTTCAACACTGGACCTTGCAACTACATTCTGTTTTTTACTCCTCAATGTCACTAGATTTCCTCCCACAAATGTGCAATATCCACTCATGGATTTCTTGTTGTCCACAACACCTGCCCAACCAGCATCTGTATAGACTTCCACTTTCAGATGGTTGTGCTTATTGAAAAGAAAGCCAATTCTTGGATACTTCTTTAAGTACCTGAAATTTCTTTCTGTAATCTCCATATGTGGTGTCTTAGGGGAATTCATGAACTGACTTAGAACTCCAACCGAATAAGCTATGTCTGGACGTGTCATAGACAAGTAAAGCAGTCTTCCCACTAGTCTTTGAAACTGTTTCACATCTTTTAGAGGTTCACCATCACAATCACCCAATTTGTGATCAACATCCAT